TGAATTCTTTCTTGTCATTCCGTTTGCATCGTCTCTATATTCTACTGAAAAGATCCAATTCTCAAATCCTTTGCTATTATTCGGGGCAGTTAATTTTTTGGTCTACTCGCCCTACTGGGACCACATAATTTTTATGACTAGATTCTAAATCTTAGGGAACTCAATAGTAATGAAATTCTCCAAGCTAAGACTTTTTGAATTTCTCAGTATTAATATGAGTGAAGTTAACATTAGATAATCAAATGACAGCATGATATTTGCCCATGTCTAGAAAATATCGAAACAATTTTTAAATTCACCATAAAACTACAAATCTTCCTCCAAATGGAGTTGATGCAGGTCTTTGTTATTTGTAACAATAGTTGCAATACGAGCTATGGAGTTGATGTGATATAATCATGCATAATTACATGAATTGTCATGCTTTTATCTTTTAGAAGTGCACATATTACATTTAAGTGTTGGTTTTGCCTTATTCATTGGATGATTTTTTCTTTCCTTTTTCTCTGAAGAGTTTGATTTCCTGACTTGAGAATTTTCTCTTCTCACACTTGCATGTATTATGACTTATTGGCAACTTATATTATGCAGATCGTTGGGATATTGTTGAATGATAATTCTCCTGGAGTAGTTGGAGCTGCTGCTGCTTCATTTGCTTCTGTTTGTCCCAATAATCTATCTTTGATTGGAAGAAATTACAGAAAGTTGTGCGAGATTCTTCCAGATGTGGAAGAATGGGGTCAGATTGTTTTGGTTGGGATCCTTTTACGATATGTAGTTGCAAAGCATGGGCTTGTTGAGGGATCCATAATGTTATATTCGTGTTCTCTTGTGAAGTATAATTCAGAAAGGGAGGATATGAAACCTCCTCTTGTGATGACAGAAAACCCTGATGACGTCGGTGGTGAGATATGTTCTGAGATAGCAGATGTAGTCTCTAGGAGTTACCTTGAAGGGCCAGAGAAGTACTTATCTCGGTTAAGTTGCATGGATAAGAATACTTCTATGGATATTTCTCATTCTACCTCTTCCAAAAGCAATGATGATGTGAAGATTTTGTTGCAGTGTACATCACCATTATTATGGAGTCATAATAGTGCAGTAGTACTGGCTGCTGCTGGGGTTCACTGGATCATGGCACCAAAGGAGGACGTTAAAAAGATTGTGAAGCCATTGTTGTTTCTACTTAGATCATCTAATGCTTCAAAATATGTGGTACTTCGCTCTTTCTTTGAAATTTTAGTTAAAGGCGAACTTAGAATAAGTGATCAAATTCCAATGCTAATTGCTTTACTACATACTTCCTGTTTCATGTATTGTTAGTCGGAGTTAGATTTTGTTTTTTAAAAATCTATGGAATTTCACTGTAGAATGTGCGAGTTCAGGTTATATAAACATAAAGGTTGCTATAATAATAATTCTCTTCTTACAAGCAGAAAGGATAATCTCCCATATGGATAAATTTCCTTTTTCTTCTGGTGACTACACCCTTTTCAACAGACATGCTGGGCTATATGAGCTGCCATCTTATTACAACTCTCTTGATTTATTTCTTCTAATTGGTAGATTATTCTTTTGTTAAAGCATCTCATGCTACCATGAATTGCTTAAAAAAATGGCCATATAAGCAAAAGTAGACAATATCTGAAGAAATTCATCTCCAATGCAATCTGATATGACTTTATTAGTCTAGCTGACGTGGCAAAGGATAAATAGGCATCGACATTGTCAAGAAGTCTATCTAGAGGTAGAGGCTCTGTTAGACATTGTCAAGAAATGCAGTCGTTCCTGACACATGTTATGTGTTAACAGATAATATTTCTTTCTTAGGATATCAGCTAATCACCGTCTTCCAATTGTTGTTCGTATGCATCATGGCATCAGAGCTAGCACCAGTAGATAACGTTGTCT